CCTCCTCCAAAGGAGCAACAGAGAGGAAAAGGCGGGAAGCACTGGCCTAAGGACAGCGCCCTCTCCCTCCCCTACACCCTTTCCTTCCGTGACAGCCACCTGCTTACAACAGCAAAGTCCACCTGTGCCGGTGTGCCCCTTCCTACCCAGCCAGTTGGAAGGCGTGCCCCTCTCCTGCAAGTTTTTTGTTGTTGTTGTTAATATAATGAAACACTCCTTTTTCCATATGAAAGACAGGGAGAGATAGAGAGAGATCTCCCAGCTGCTGGTTCACTCCCCAAACACAAAGGCAGGAGCCAAGAACTCCCTCTGGATCTCCCACATAGGCCAGGAGCCCCATGTCAATCTGGAGTCCCACATGGGCAGCAGAGACCCCCACGTCTGAGCCATCACCTGCTGCCTCCCAGGGTGTGCGTTAGCAGGAAGCTGGAACAGGGAGCCAGAGCTCCCGGACGGGGTGTGGGCATCCCAAGCAGCCGCTGAACCAGCACGCTTCACACCCACAGCCCTGAAGGTTCTTCAGCACCCAGGCAGGCTGTCGGGCCTGTTCCCTGTTCACTGCAGTCCCATACAAAACTGACACACGGAAGCCCCCACCTGGGGACTATCCCCCGTGACGTTTTAGTGACTTGGTCTTAAGTGAGGAAAGGGTCACACTTGTCACCCTGAGTGCTAAAAGGCCTCTCCCTCTAGGAGGCACCTGCCCAGAGGATGCCACCCTGGGAGAAACACTGGCGTCCTGCTCCATTAAAGAAACCAAGCACTGGCCAGCTGGCTCCAGCTCCCATCACACAGGGGGCAGGGCTGGCTCCCCTGACTCGAAGTCCAGTGCTCACTCCATCATCCCACTCCCAGGCTGGTTTGGAGAGGGCGTGTGACCACTCAACAGGGCTTTGAAGCTCGTGGTCATGAGTAGCAGGGCGGGTGGGGCTGCCCAAAGAAAGGATTGTTGGGCAAGGTACCTCTGGTAGAAGCTCTGCTGTGGCCTCCCCAGCCAGGCCCAGGGTCCAGAAGGGGCTGAGAGAGGTGCCCATCTCAGACACCTGCCAGTGAGCCCCTCGGGGCCAGCAGCAGTCCACAAGTGTGAGCTTTGAAGGGAGACAGCCACGAGGGTCAGTGACACATTGGCCATGTGGGAGCTACTGGCAAGTACCCAGCTGCCCTGAACCCCAGTTTCCTTGTCTGTAAGTGAAGAGAGGCCCTGGCCAGTTTACAACAGTGGGAGAACTCACGGATATATTCCTGTGGATCTCTTAGCAGTATGCCTACACACAATCAGAATCAAGAAACTGCTTGAAGGAGTGGCCCTGAAAACATGCCTTAGACTCTCCGGTCTGGGGCTGGTGCTATGGCTTAGCAGATAAAGCTGCTGCCGGCAATGCCGGCATCCCATATGGACATCAGTTCAAGTCCCGGCTGCTCTACTTCCAATACAGCTCCCTGCTAACGTGCCTGGGAAAGCAGTGGAAGATGGTGCAAGTGCCTGAGCCCCTGCGCCCACATGAGACCTATAAGAAGCTCCTGGCTCCTGGCTTTAGCCTGGCCCAGTCCCAGCGGTTTGGGCCATTTGGGGAGTGAACCAGTGGATGGAAGACCTTTCACTCTGTCCTTTTTCTCTCTGTAATTCTGCCTTTCAAATAAATAAATAGACAGATAAATCTTTTTTTAAAAAAAATGAAAACAATATCCAGCCTACCTCTTAAATTCCCCTAATCCCCATGGTCCTCTGAAAATTTATGAGAAAATAAGACTCACTTTTAATTGGTTTCAGTGGGCTTTTACTGATCCTAAAATCACCACTTCCTCCAAGAAGCCCTGCTGACTACCCTCACCCTGAGCAGGCTGGACGAGGCTACCCTCCCTGTTTATCCTCAGACCTGAATCCCTGCTCCCTAAGAAACACCTTGTGGGAGGCCTGTCCATCATGATGCAGTTAGTTCCCTGGTTAGAGGACCTGTTAAACACCCAGGGAGGGGGTCTGAGCCCCTCTCCAGCTCCACCGACAGGCCCAGGTTCAGGCCCCAGGCGGGGCTGTACACAGTCACTCCATTCTCAGGAGAGGAAGGGGAAGAGTGAGAAAGAGGGCTGGCTGGATTCTGGGGGAGATTTCACAGTCGAGCCTTAGGCTGGAAAGGGTGACAAATGACACCTGTGACACAGAACCGACCTGAGCAACGCACAAGGCTGTAAAAAGTCAGAGCAAACAAGGGGGGAGGAGCTGGTGCCAGGGCCCAGAGGTGAAGTTTGCTTCTTGACTGTCGATTTTCAAAACTTCCTGGAGGGCTTCCTGGGGTCTTTTCATGGTCAGCTTACACACACCATGGCATCGCACCCTCCCAGCAGCTCCCTGGGCCGGGGGAGCTGGGCGTACCGTTCCCCCTGTCTCCAGAGGCCTCTCCCACTTCCCCAAGGGGCTTGGAGACAGGGAAAGGCCAGGTCACATCACTGCTGTGGGGCACACACTGTTATTTCATTCCACCAGAAAAGAACATGAAGCTGTGAGCAGATAACCCACAAAGATGTGGAAGACTGCATTTGAACCCAGACCCTCCAAGTTCAAGTTTTACTCCGTTATATGACAACACCAGCCCTTCAAATGCACCAGCCCCTGAAACGCCAGCCCTGCCCAAAGACACATTGTGAAACACACAAATCCCTGTTGCTCTTGTTCACGGTCCAATTCCACTTGGCCATCACAGGCGGTGTTTTGCTCCGTATCTCTGCTTTCAGTCTAGCAACCTTCCCCGTCAGGCTGTGAAATCTCCAGTTGCCAACAATTGTACTCAGGACTGGAGACTTTCCGAAAACAACCGTATTTCCAACTCTTTTCTCCAGTGTCTCCGAGTAAGCCAGGCGCGTGGAAGCTTCTGTACCCTGCTGGCCACCACCAGCAATGAGGAGAGAGAACCTGCTCCAGCCCACGGGCAGGAGGGCCTTGGCAAGCTGGCAGATGGAAGCCAGAGTGCCTGGGTCCTTGATTTTACTTTGGAACTGCAGTGGAGCCAAACCAGGGTTTGGGTGGCCAGAGGCTGCAGGGTTCTCTGTGGCCCCACCCACAAGTCTGCATTTCTCACCCCATCCAGCCTCCCCCATCCTCCTCCCCCACCCCCCCACCCCCCTTAGCCTGGCCTCCCAGGAGCTCCCTGCCCAGCTGCCTCCCCAGCTTCTCACATTTCTGGGCCTGCGAGGCTGAGTCTGAGCCTGCGACCAACCAGCAGGCACCTGCCGCTGTCGCTGGACAGAGACAGAGCTGGGAGCCGACCTCCTCCTGAGCCGCTCTGCCCAAGGCTGCTCACGGAAATGCCGAGTTTGCCGTTTGCGTTCCCCAGGGGGAGGCCAGGACACTAAGACATTACATTCCTGGGTGGGAATTAGACCAGAAACTCCAAAGGAGCAAAAAGAAGCAAGTGAGGAGGCCGGGAGGTGGAACTGTGCACTCCTAGCCTCAGTCGTTAGGGAGGGACGACAGGCCAGCGTCAGCAGGAGAGCCCAGGGCAGCTGGCCTGGTCTGCAGAGGCAGAGGGCTCCCCGTGTAGGCCTCCGGGGGCTCCTCGTCCTCCCGGCACCACCCTTTGGCCTCCGATCACACCCCACAAGCAAGACCCACGCCCTGGGGTCCGGAGGCAGCATGGTTCTTCACCCAGGGCGGCAGCCAGCCAAGGGCACACCCCCAGCGCCCCGTTTCCTCTTCTCTCCTTTCACCACCATCCCTACCTCAGCACCCCACTAGGAATTCCAAGACGGCCCCCACTCTGTGCAGCCGCCCACCTAAAACCCAGCCCACTGTTCCCAGGAACTTCACATCCCAGGGAATGGCATTTTCCTCCCTAGCTCAGCTCCTCCCCAGCCGTGAGGGTCAATTTTCTAAAGTCGCCCCCTCCCCAGGCCCCGCAAAGCCAATCAGGCCATGGAAACCACAGCTGCCTCCTCCCTGGGAAACACACGCGTGCTCACGCACGCACGCACACACACACACACACACTCTGCTGTGGCCAGGGCAGAGGGTCAGCATCTACAGCCATGCCGGTAACTCCAGCTCAGAATGCAGGCTGGGACTAGCTTCCTCTCCCTGCAGGTGGCTGTCTGTCTGTCTGTGTGAGGCTGTCTGGGTGCACTTGGCATCCGACTGGCTCACTCCCTCTGCGGTCTGTGCGCAGGCTCCCTCCTCTCTCTCTAGCCTCACTGTCTCTCTCTAGGCTCTGCTCCTGCTCCTCAAACTCACTGGCTGTGTCCTTTGTACGGAGCTGCCGGCTAGGTGGGCAGGGTACTGCCTGGGAAGGTCCATGCCAGGCGGGCGGGCACTGCCTGCCTTTGCCTCTCTCCCTCCTCCCTGCCCAGGCCAACCTGAGAACCAGGGCAGGGATGGGTAGCAGACGGAGACCTATCAACTCGGGCACGCCTGATGCCAGTTTCCATATTGCTTCATCATGCCATTCTGATGCCCCATGCTGCACACACAATCCACCCCCCTCGCCATGTCCCTGCGATCTGCCTGAGGCCAGGATCGGCTCCCTGAGCCTGCCTTGCCCGCCGCCCCAAACTGCAACCCTGCCGGCCTGCCCTCCCTCGGCGCCGAGTCGGCCCCGCCGCACTTGGCGCTAGCGCACCCCACCCAGCGCGCAGAGCTCGCAGAGAGCCCCCAGCCATGGCTCCAGCAGGCCTCGCGGGTGCAACAGAGTGGTCTGGCAGCAAAGTTCTCCATCCGCCCGTGGCTCGCGCCTCTCCCGCCGGCTCCCCGGCCTCGCGCGGACCCACTCGTCCCGCGCTCCCCGCCAGATTTTTCACCCCCGCTATCAAAAATCAGAAAGCAAGAGGAAACCTCTCGTGATACGAATGGCCAGAAGACAAGCGGGTGTCGGCAGGAGCCCCCAAAGACGAGGGGAGTCGTCAAGTGAAAAAGAAAGGGGATGCAAAGTTCCCCGTTCCCTCGGGCGCGTCCAGCCCCGCGCCCAGCTCGCGCGGTTGCCCGGGATCGCGGAGCCGCGGCGGCGGCCACTCACCTGGGCGAGGCAGCATCTACCCCCGGCTGCGGGGCTCCGAGGCCGGCTCGGCGGGGCGCCCGGGCTCCCCGGCTCGGCCGCGCATCCTTCCGCGCCCGCCACAGTCTGGAGCTAAGCCCTCCGGCTCCGGCGAAGGCAGGCAGATGGTGGCCACGGACGTCCACGCGGGGAGAGCCCTGAGCGGCTTATTCAGTTATATCCATGGCATTTAGCGAGGAGCAGGGGGGGAAGCACAACTTGTTCTCTTCGCGTCCAGATTTTTAAAAAAGGAAAGAAAAGATCATCTCTCCCCGAGGAAGACGCCGAGAGGATCTACCAGATCGAAGACCCACGATCGAAGATCCTCGGGCATTCCCCTGGCAACCCTCCCGGCATCCTTCAGGATCAGACGAGCCTGGCGGTGTGTGTGTGTGTGTGTGTGTGTGTGTGTGTGTGTGTAGAGGGAGAGGGAGTGAGAAGGAGCCAGGCACTCACACCCACATGCACACACACAAACACACTCCCCCGCACTCGCTGCATGCACGCTGCCCCCCGCGCGCGCACACACGCGCGCGCGCTCTCCCGCTCTCTCTCCCCTCTCTCACACGCACACACACACACGCACACGCAGAGCGATCACACGCCAGGATCCTGGAGGGAGCCGCACCGGCTGCAAGAGGCAGCGCAGGGCCAGCGGTGGAGAAAGCCCCCGGCCGGAGGCGCCCAGGAGCCCGGTGGCCGTGCGCGCCGTCCCCGCCGAGCTCCCCGGCGCGGCAGCCCCCAGCGGCGGCCCGCGGAGCTGCAGGACCCCTGAGCCAGCCGCGCGCCCGCCACCCGGCCCGCCGCCGAGCGCACCCGCTTCCGCGCCGACCGACACCCACACCGCGGCCGCCGGCGCCCGAGGGATCCGCGGTGCTGGCAGCAGTGGCGCGGGGCCGGCGGGGTGGGGGCGGGGATGGGTGGAGGCTGCGGGCAGGGAGGGCGGCGGACGGGTCGTGAGCCCCGGGAACCGGGAGGGCCGGGCTCTGCGGCCCGGTGACACGGGCAGCCCTGCGCCAGGCGAGCCGGGCGGCCTGGGCTGCGCCGCCGCAGCAGCCCGCGCGGGTGCTGCTACCTCACGTGCGGAGCGCGCCCGCGCATCCGTCAGTCCGCCGCCTGCCGGAGGAAAAGCCGACCGCGCCCGCCCCAGGCTGCGCGTGGGGGCTGGGAGGATGGCACCCACCCAGCCCTGGAGCCCAGCTCCGGATCCTGCCCCCCCGCCGGGGCCCCCACGAAAGGGTGCGCCGGCGGGAGGCGCCCGTACTTTAACTCGTCCTGAATATTCCAAGAGCCCAGGAGATGTGCAGTGGCGCCGAGTGTTTGCACAGCGCCCTCAGGACTCGCGCTGTCTGCTCTTCGCGGAGCTCCCATTTGACACGGAAGGAAACTACAGCCCAGCAAAGTGACTTGTCCAAAGCACGTGGTAGGCAGTGGAGCCTCTCCTGGAAGCAGACTGTGGCCTTAGAATCGGGAGTCCTGGGTCTGCACCAGGGCGCGCCTGTCTGGCTTATCCCCTCTGCCCCCTGGGGTCATCTCCAGCTCCGGGAAAAGGTGGACCGGAGCTTTGCCTTCCTGTGCTCCGGAGAAGCGCTTTCCCCTCTCCGGCTGCAGGAACCGAATGTTCGAGACTGCTGCTGGCAGTGCAGCTGGAAAATCCAGGGCCAGGGAGCCTGGCTCAGACCCCCTCTGGTCCCCTCTGCTACTGCATCCCAAGCACCTGCCCCGGTCACCCACAGGGAGGCACAGGCAGCATGTGCAGTCCAGGCTCCACTGGACACATCGTTAGCACCAGACCCTGTGTCCTCTCCGTTCACACGGGTGCTGCCTCTGTGTAGAAGTCCAGGCAGCTGGTCCCCCTGTGCTGGCGCCCTCTCCAGGAAAACTGCAGATCCTTGAAGACAGGCCCTCCTGAACCCCTGAGGGGAAGAAAGATGCCTGCAGGAAGGAGTTCCAGGTGTCCTGGTGTGGGCTTCCCTGGGAAGAAGGGAGCCTACTCAAGCAAAGAGAGGCAGATGCCAAATGCAAGCTGGAAGAAGGGAAGAGAAACAAGAAGACTGAGAGATGAGGGGGGTGTGAAAAGATGGGAAGGGAAGGGGGAGGGGAGGGGGGACATAGGCATCCGCGTGGGGTATGTGTTTCCCCTGGCCAGGAAGTTTTCCCAAATTGCAGTGAGGAGCCAGCACCTGGATCATGGGCACTTCTGAAAACCACTGGTCTATTTTTCTAATTACACTTGCCTCAATGCAAGCAGCCTCAGCCCCAGGCTGGGTATCAGGTGGCCTGAATGCTCACCTGGCGTTGTGCTGGAGAGCAATGCAACAAGCCCCTTCCCCTCTAGGGGGCCAGACTGGGTGCTTTCTCCCTGAGGAACCACAGCAGGTGGAAAAGGGTGAAGACCCAAATGCATCTTGGGAGGCCAAGAGAAAACCAGTTTGCTGTCACCGTTTACCACGGAAAACTGCCCAGAAGATAGTCTGCACCTGGATCCCGGATCGTGGGAGTTTGGGCTCCTTGAGCAAGCCCAGAGGGCCCACACTGGTGTGGTACTGGCTGCTGGCACCACAGAGGAGAGCCAGGACTCCAGGAAGAAGTGACCCCATCACTCTATATGAGAGAAAGCATTTGCACCCACACCATTGTAATGGTGGGCATGGAGGTCTTCTCCAGTTTCATTTATCTAAGGACCCTGTGCTGAACTTCTTGAATCTTTGCCCATGCCTCTCTCGCCTCTCTCAGTGCCCAGGCTGGACTCCCCCATGCTCTGGGCATGGACTTCTTTGTTTCCATTTTAGAGCTGAGGCATTCAAGTGCAGAGCAGAAAAATGATTACCAGAGAGCTCCCAGCAGGTGCTTAGGGATATTTTCACACGCCCTCCTGGGTCTCTGCTGCCTCGTGCTTCAGGCTGAACATGAAGGGCACTCGCCATACTCCATTGTGAATCCAGGAATTCAATGTGAAGAATGTCCAAGGTCTCCCCATCCCCCACTCCAAGCCCACACCTGCTCTCCTGGGCCTTCCTCATCACCCCTCCTCCCATTCCCCCTTCCGTATCCCTTGGCTTTCTGCTGGGAATACAGCAGAGAGGAATTAGATCGCAGCATCTGAGTATCCAAAAAGAGTTCCCAGGAGGGTTTGGAGGGAGACAGGGTCTCAGCCGAGGGACAAGAGGCAGACTTGGCCTGGGCCTTGATAACTGATGGGCAACCACTTTCGTCCGAGTCCACTGAGTGTAGAAAAGAGAGGAGATTCGTTGAAAAGCGCTGGTGGGGAAAGTGGTGGCACAGCATGCTCAGTGGCTCCCCTTTTGGAATGCTTGGGATTCGGGGTCGCCTCCACTTCCAGGAAGGCAGCACTTGACATGGCAGCTCTGACCTGGGAGATATGGGCGGGCTTCCTGGTTCAGGACAGCTTGTGACTTTGGCCTGCCCCAGCCCCAGAAGTCGAGGGCATTCGGGGAGTGAACTAGCAGATGGAAGATCTCTCTGTCTCTCTCTCTGTCTCCCCCTCCCCCTGTGTGTGTGCACAGGCACACACACACACTGCTCTGCCTTTAAAATAAAAATATAAGTAAATAAATAAATAAATAAATAATCAGTGAGGGGTCCAGGACTGCGGAAAGTGCTCATAAAAGAAGGGGTGCTCTCTGTGACCCCGTGATGTGCGAGTGGCTTCTCGGAGCCCCCTTGGCCCCGAGACTGGCTTCATGCACCAGGAGAACAAGACAAACCCTGGAGCACAGGCACTTAGCCTGGCAGTTAAGATGCTGCTGGGGAGGTCTGCGTCCATGTCAGGGTGCCTGGGTTTGAGCCACAGTTTGGTTCTTGATTCCAGCTTCCTGAGACAGGCGGTGATGGCTCGAATACTAGGGTCTTTGCCACACACATGGGAGACCTGGATGGAGTTCCTGCTTCTGGCCTGGCCTGGTCCAGCCCTGGACATTGCAGGCATTTGGGAAGTGAACCAATGAATGAAATATCATTCTCTCTCCTCTCTCTCTCCCTTCCTCCCTCTCTCTCTCTCTCTCCTCTCTCTCTCCTCTCTCTCTCTCCTCTCTCTCTCTCTTTCTTTCTCTCTCTCTCTCTCTCCCTTCCTCCCTCCCTTTCCACACACACACACAAACCCCACCATCTCTCTTTCCGTTTGTCTTTTGGTCTCTCAACTAAATGAATTAAAGCCTATGAAAAACAAGAGACCCTAGGACACAGTCTTGTAGGCCTCAGGGTCTCCCGCTGATTCTGTCCCCTGGATTGGGAGCTGGGAGTCCTAAATTCTTAGCGCTGCAGTCACTCAACTTCCCCAGGGACACATGGCCATCCTACTCCCAGGTTGTCCCATAGGCCTTACCAACTTTGGACAGCTGTGTCATGGGAGCACAGGCTAGCCCTGGGGTGCCCTTTCTGGAGGTGCAAGGTGAGATCTTGTCATTCTGCCAGGTCCTCTTCCCCTCCTCCCTCCCTGAATGCTAGGGTAACAAGCAGCCAAAATAAATTCCTATTAGTATGCACATGTATTCCCGGATTCCTCAATCCAGTGAGTAACACCACCTACAGCCATTAGCCCGGCTTTGTTTTCTAAATGCACTTTGCTTTCACCCCAAGCCCTCTGTTTACCTCATCCCCTCCCCCAAGCCCAATGGACTCCCTTCCCAGCCTCACTCTCTTGCCCCAGAGCCCAGTCCGGGGTGGGTTCCTGATGTGTCCAGGCACCCGCTAATCCTGGGACGTCATGATCTGTCCATGGAGCAGTCTTCACTGAGTCTCTCTGTGCACCACCTAGTGCTTTTTTTTTTTTTTTTGACAGGCAGAGTGGACAGTGAGAGAGAGACAGAGAGAAAGGTCTTCCTTTGCCATTGGTTCACCCTCCAATGGCCACCGTGGCCAGTGTGCTGCAGCCAGCGCACTGCGCTGATCCGATAGCAGGAGCCAGGTACTTCTCCTGGTCTCCTATGGGGTGCAGGGCCCAAGCACTTGGGCCATCCTCCACTGCACTCCCTGGCCACAGCAGAGAGCTGGACTGGAAGAGGGGCAACCGGGACAGAATCCGGCGCTCCAACCGGGACTAGAACCCGGTGTGCTGGTGCCGCAGGTGGAGGATTAGCCTAGTGAGCCGCGGCACCGGCCAACCACCTAGTGCTTTGTTAAGGACCGGAAGGGAGAAGAGGAGGCAGAGGGCAGTGCCTCCTCCTGGAGAGAAAGGCTCACCAGCCTTGGTGCTGTGCCTCCCCAGTCCTTGACCTTGTTCATTACAATTCGTTACAATTAAAGATGCTGAGTCCAAAGCAGGCACCGTGATTTCAAGCCAGATCTCT